AATGAATGATAAGAGGCAACCATTGAAAGAAGAAGGTGGAAGAATGAAGGAAGAAAGGAATGAAATAAGGTTTAAAAAAGTAGTAAAGGGAAAATGAAGTGAGGAAGATAGAGGAAAAAAAGGTTATTAAGCTGTTGAAAGAAAAGGAATGGGATAGAGAGAGTAAAAAAAAAAATAAGATTAGATAATATATCGAGAAAGGTAGATGGATAGATAGATAGATAAAGAGAAAAAGATAAGATGGATGAAGAATAGAGAATAGAAATAGATTGATAGATAGAGAGATAGAAATACAGATAGATAGATTAGATAAAAATAAAAGCTATAAGAATAATAGATAGATAGTTATAGATAAATAGGACATATCAGACAAAATAAAATGGAAATAGATGACAGATAGGACGAAAATGAAAATGAAAAAACAAACAAAAATACAACACTCTGAGGATGAATCACTTTAGTAAAACAAAAAGAAAAGAAAAAAGGTAAAAAAAAAAATATACAAACTAGATTTTAAAAAAAAAGACAGACAGACATAGAATGACAATGAACAAAAAAAAAAAAAGAAAAGCTGAAGAAGTCTCCTCTCTCTCTCTTCCCTTTTCTCCTCCCAGTCTCTCTCCTCCTCTCTTCTCCTTCCCGCCTCCCTTTCCTCTCCCCTCCTCCCTCCCCCTCCCTCTCATCTTCTCCTCTCTCTCTCTCTCTCCCTCCACCCTCTCCCTCTCTCTATCCCTCCCTCCCCCCCGCTTCCCCTCCCAAAACCCTCTCCTCCTCTCATTCTCTCTTCTCTCTCTTCCTCCCTCCCCTCCCTCCCACCCCCCATCTCTCTCTCCTCCCTCTTCTCTCTCTCTCTCTCTCTCTCTTCTCTCTCTCTCTCTCTCCCTCTGTCCCCTCCTCCCCCTCTCTCTTTCCCTCCTCCCTCCCTCCTCCCCTCCCCTCCCCCTCCCTCCCTCTTCTCTCTTCTCAACTCTCTCTCTCCCTCCCTCCCTCCTTCCCACCCCCTCTCTCTCTCCCTCCCCTTCTCTCTCTTCGCTTTCTCTCTCTCTCACTCTCCCCCCCCCCCCCCCCTCTCTCTCTCTGTTGATGCCAATGCCCCCGGTGGGTTCACCCCAACGGCGCGCTATGAATCAGCTCGCTTTAATGTGTTGACTCTTCACCTGAACTCGCTTAATTAAGGCTTATTAAGATAGGTTACGTTGCTGCATCCTTTGTTTCACTCTAAATCCGGCGATGCACTTGGATCTTGTATCCTCAGATCCTTTTAAAAAGACATGGTGTTAGATGAGGCTTTGAAGTGACGGTTGTTATTTTTATTTTTTTTTTGGCTTTCTCTCTGTCTTCTCGATTCTATCTCTGTCTCTCTCTTTCTCTCTCTCAGTCTCTTTCTCTCTCTCTCTTTCTCTCTCTCTTTTCAACTCTCTCTCTCTCTCTCTCTCTCTCTCTCTCTCTCTTCTCTCTCTCGTCTCTCTCTCTCTCTCTCTTCTCTCTTCTCTCTCTCTCTCTCTCTCTCTCTCTCTCTCTCTCTCTCTCTCTCTCTCTCTCTCTCTCTCTCTCTCTCTCTCTTCTCTCTCTCTCTCTCTCTCTCTCTCTCTGGTAGTTACATTAAGACTATGTATGCATATGTAGACACACGCATACACATGTACGTAAATACACGAACGCGTCCATACATTCATATACAAAAGTATATACTCCCATGTAAGACAGCACGCACATCCACACACACACACACACACTTTCATCCACAAACACACATCTTAATCAAAACAAACAACCACATTTCTCCACGTTCACACTTAGATTCTCCAAACACCCAAACAAGTAGACACGATCACACACACACACACGAGCACACACACACATACACAACAACACACAATCACACGAGCACACACACATACACAACAACACACAATCATACGAGCACACACGCACACACACACACACACACATACACAACAACACACAAATACAACACAACGCACACCACATACAACACACACAACAGCACACAATCATACGAGCACACACACATACCACAACAACACACAATCACACGAGCACACACACACACACACATACACAACAACACACAATCAAACGAGCACACACGCACACGCACACACACACATACACACAACAACACACAATCACACCAGCACACACGCACACGCACACACACACATACACAACAACACACAATCACACGAGCACACACGCGCACACACACATACACAACCACACTCAAACACCACACACACCCTGCGTCCTACACTTTAACAACGTATATATCTACACTCAGGCGACGAACGTAAACAAAACAACAGACAGACAGACGTAAAGGTTTATCAGGGGAAAAAATCAAGACATCCGCCTCGTTGTTTATTCATGCTTTCCCCGCATTGTCTTCGCATTTTCTGAACAAGGTCACAGTCGAGCCTTGGACGGTTGGATGAGCGGAAAATTCGGACTGCGTGGGAGACTCTCTTGACTTCGGGGGTACCACTTTCTTTCATCTTTTCGTTTTCTTCTTTTTTTTTCTTGTGTTCTCTCTCTTTTCTTTCTTTCTTTTCTGTCTGTCTGTCTGTGTCTGTCTGTCTGTCTGTCTGTCTGTCTGTCTGTCTGTCTGTCTCTCTCTCTCTATCCAGTTATTTTCCAATCATTATCTTTCATTTTCATTATCGTTTCATTTCCTTTTTGTTTGTGTCTTTCTTTCTATCTTCTATCTTCTGTTCGTTATCTCTCCCAACCTTTCTGTTCTTCATCCATCCGTTCCTCTTCCATTTTACTTGTTTTTCCTCTTCTTCTACTCTTCCCTCCTCTCTTTTGTTCTCTATCTCAACCTTCCGTCCTTCCATCCTTCCTTCCACCTCCCCCCCCAACTCCCCATACTCTTACCCCACCTCAAAAAAAAAAAAAAAAAACTCTTCCCGATGTCCTTACAACCTCCACCTCCTCAAAAAAAAAAAAAAAAAAGAAAAAAGAAAAAAAGAAAGAAACTAAGAAAGAAAGAAAGAAATATATACAATAAACAAAATCAAATTAAAATCTAGTCACCTTTCTTCATATACGACGTCCTTACCCCCCCCCCAAAAAAAAAAAAAAAAAAATCTGAAATCATAAATCAAATCAAAATAAAATCCAGACGCACTCACCTTCTCATAATTTCATCTTCTCCTTCCTCCCCCCCCCAAAAAAGAAAAAGAAAAAAGAAAAAAGAGAGAGAGAGAGAGAGAAGAGAGAGAGAGAGAGAGAGAGTGAATAAAAAAAAACTTTCATGAATAAGACGAATTTAAGATCGAAACGCAGTCACATTCACTCCTGAGATGTCACCTCCCCCCCCCCCCCAGAGAGAGACTAATAATAAAAAAACAGACAGAGAGAATTAGGGGGAAAAAAATCCCCATTTATAAATAAAACGAATTTAAGAGAAACATTTTCTCTAAAATGTCACCCCCCCCAAAAAAAAACAAACTCTCCTCCCCTCTATAATTTCACTTCCTTCCACCAAAACAACAACAATAAACAAACTCCCAGTTAAAGAAAGAAAGAAAAAAGAAAAAAAGAAAAAAAACTAAAGACAACCTACTTTTTTTCTAGAATTTACCCCCCTCCCCCCTTAAAAAGCCAATTCAAAACACACATACCTCTTCTCCATAACCTTCCCCCCCCCAAAAAAAAAAAAAAAAAGAAAAAAACATTAAAATATAAACCATCAAAAGAAAAGCTCAAAACACACTCAATTTTTTCTCCATAACCTCACCCCCCCAGAAAAAAAATCAAAAGACAAACTCAAAACACACTCACCTCTCCATAACCTCACCCCCCCCTCAAAAAAAAAGAGAAAACATCCCCAAAATAAACTCAAAACGCCCTCCCGTTTCCTCCATAATCTCACCTCCCCCCCCCCAAAAAAAAAAAATCCCCGTCAAGAAAACAAAAATAAATCCCCAAAAAAAAAAAAATCCCCCCAAAAAAAACCGTCAAGAAAACAAAATAAATCCCCCTAAACCCCCCCCCCAAAAAAAAATCCCCCGTCAAGAAAACAAAATAAATCCCCCTAAAAAAACCCCCCCCAAAAAAAAAAAAATCCCCCGTCAAGAAAACAAAAATTAAATCCCCTAACCCCCCCCCCAAAAAAAAAAAAAAAAAACTGCAAACGCCCTCACCTTCTCTCCGTAATCCCCCTCATCGGCCAGGGTGGAGACGTACTTCCAGCCGAGAGCCCTCACCATCTCCACCATCGCCATCGCCTGGAAGTTGTCGGGAGGAACAACGCGACTGAAGTACTCGAAGCGCGCCTTGTCCGAGAGCTCCGTCGACGTCGAGGCGTAGCTGATCTGCGGGATCTGGGGGGTTGGAGGGGGGGGGTGGGGGTTGGGGGGAGGTGGAGGGGGGTGGAGGTGGGGGGTGGGGGTTGGGGAGGTGGAGGTGGGGTGGGCGGTGGTTGGAAGGGGAGGTGGGGGGGGGTTGGAAGGGAGGTGGTGAAAGGTGGTTGTGGGAAGGTGGAGGGGAGGAAGAAAGGAAGGAACGGTGAGGTGGATAAGAGGATGTGGAGGGAGAAGAGGAGGAGAGGTTGGAGGGCGAGGGGTAGAGGAGGGGAAGGGGAGGAGGGGGAAGAAAAAGTGGATCCGACACGAAGGAGGAGGAGGAGGAGGACGAGGAAGAGGAGGATGGGGAAGAGAGAGAGAGAGAAGAAGATTAGTGTTTGTCAATTGCAATAAGTATATATTAGTCTTGGGATTATGATTATTATGATTACGATGACGATGTTGATGTTAATGATGATGATAATGTTATGATATTATCATTATCATCATTATTATTGCTATTACTATCATTATCATCATTAACATTTTCAATATCATTACAGTTTCATTATCATTAGTATCATTATTATTGTTATGATTATCATTAGTATCATTATTATTGTTATGATTATCATTAGTATCATTATTATTGTTATTATTATTATCATTATCACTGTATCATCATCAGATCATCACCATCGTCATTATCAGTAATATATATCGTTATTAGTATAATCATCATCATCATTCATAATCTTATTCTAATCCTTATACTTAATTGTTATCATTATCATTATCACAACCATCATGATTATCATCATTACTCCTGAAAAAAGTAAAATTGGCATACATGGGGTGATGCAATTTTCTACATAAATAATCAATTGAATATGTTCGATATTCTTGAGCACACAGATACAATAAAAAAGATAAAAAAGAAAGACAGAAAGACAAAATAATACACCAATATACCAATACTGATGTACATTTTGGACCGTAAACAACCCAAGACCATCTCAGGAACAGAAAACATCTTTCAAGTTCCAGGCTAAAGTGCACCCCCTCTAGACCCCCCCCCACCATCCTCTCACTGTACGTCCTCCCCCTACCCCCATCTCTCTCTCCTTTACCGTATCCTCTCCTCCCACCCCATCCTTCCTCTTCAATGTTTTCTCCCCACTCCTCCTCCCCCCTTTCCTCCACTTTCTTAATTTAATTATATTCCCCTCACTCCCCTCCTCACCATATCCACTCCCCTCATCCCGTCTTCACTGTACCCCCTCTCCCCCTTCAACTTATTCTACCGCTCTCCCACCCGCGCCGTAACACACCCTCCCCTTCTCCCCTCCCTACCCACTTCCCCACCCCCCACTCCCCCACTCCCCCCCCCCCAACCCCCACTACCCTACCCCGGTTAAGCTGTTTACGGCTGAAGCTTAAAACTGCCTTCGACCTAATCTGTTTTCCAGTAATCAATCTGTATTTAACGGCGAGTTAGGGTTGCGATTAATTGATCACTCACGGCTCAATATGCAGCTGACAATCTCATTATGAATTCTCCGATGCCTAGTTAATTATGAGGGAGAAATAGGCGTGTGGCGGTAGGTAAGTTCTGGACAGGGAGGAAGACTTTTGAATGGAGGAGAGAGAGAGAGCGAGGGAGAAAGAGGGGGAGAGAGGGAGAGAGAGAGGCAGAGAGAAAGAGAGAGAGAGAGAGAGAGAGAGAGAGAGAGAGAGAGAGAGAGAGAGAGAGAGAGAGAGAGAGAGAGAGAGAGAGAGAGAGAGAGAGAGAGAGAGAGACAGACAGACAGAGAGAAAGAGTGAGAGAGAGAGAGAGAGAGAGAGAGAGAGAGAGAGAGAGAGAGAGAGAGAGAGAGAGAGAGAGAGAGAGAGAGAGAGAGAGAGAGAGAGAGAGAGAGAGAGAGAGAGAGAGAGAGAGAGAGATTTTTCTCGTTCTTTCTCACTTCCTTGTTCTCAAACCCTCTCTCTTTCTCTATACCTCTCCATTTCTTCTTGTTTTTCCCCATCCCTATTGAAATATTGAAACAAATAATAAAAAACCTACAACCACCACCAATCAACAACAAAAACAAATAAAAACAAATAAACAAATGAACAAAAAGAAAAGAAATGGCACAAACACACACCGACAAGCGTACCCGTGTGTTTCCGTTCCCCGTGAATGTGCACACGTGTGTAAGTCGTTCGTGTGTGTACGAGGCAGTCCGGGATGTGTACCTAATCCCCTGCGACGTGTGGGACTTGCTCCACCTGTAGGGTATTTACGTCAGTGGGTGGTGGGGGGGGGTAGTGGGGGGCGGCTAGGGAAGGTTCGACGGGGGGGGGAGGAAATGGGAGGCTAGGGAAGGTTCTGATGGGGGAATGGGGAGGCTAGGGAACCTGTGGGGAGGGGGTGGGGTGGAGGAGAGTGAGGTGGAGGGAGTGGGGAGGGGGTAAGTGGGGGTGGCTAGGGAAGGTTGGGAGGGGGCGTTAGTCGGGGGGAGGCTAGGAAGATTCAGAAGGGGTGGGGAGAGGAAGAGAGTGAGGTGGAAGGAGTGGGAGGAGGAGGGTGGGTGGGTGGGGGGGGAGAATTAAGGTAGGAGGAAGTAGATGAGGAGAGGGTGGTGGAGGGAAGTGGAGGAAGGAGGGAGGTGGGGGAAATTGAGGCAGAGGGGATTAGGGGAAAAGTGGATGAAGAGAAGGAAGTGGAGGGAAGAAGAAGTTAGAGGTGATGGGGAGGAGGGAGATGGAGGGAAGGATGTGAAGGAGAGGGACAGGAGGGAAGCAAGGGAGTGCAAAGGAGGGAATTCTTAGAAGGAGATGGAAAACTCGCAAGTCATGATACAGCAAGCGACGAAAAGAAAAAAAGAAAAAAAAAGAAAAAAAAGTAGGCAGCGAAAAACGAAAGGTGCAAGGGAAGAGAAGAGAGAAGAATGAGAGCGAAGGAGGGAGGGAACGAGGGAAGATAGGAAAGGGGGGGGAGGAGAAGGGGGGAGGGAGGGGTAGGGAGGATGTCCATGAATCCTTCCAAGACACTGTCCATCCTGAAGCTTGTGTGTGTGAGGCGCGCGAAGGAAATTGAATCTAAGACTGGGAAGTAATGTATGTGTTAATATCTCCTTTGTTTTTTCTTATTTATTTTTTTTTTTGTTATTTCTTTGATATTGATTTTTCTTTTTTTTCATTTCGGTAAATACTCTTGGTCTTATTTTCTTTCTTTGTCAATCTCTCTCTCTCTCTCTCTCTCTCTCTCTCTCTCTCTCTCTCTCTCTCTCTCTCTCTCTCTCTCTCTCTCTCTCTCTCTCTCTCTTTCAATCTAAAATCAATCCCATTACCATTTTCATCAAAAGATTTATCTGCACATTAATAGGAAATAAGTCAAGCTAGAAAGAAAAAAATGAAAAGATAAAGAGACGAGAATAACAAATAGGAAATAAGGAAAATGACAAGAAAAGAAATAAAACGACAAGAAAACAAGTAAGATGACAAAGAATAAAAAAGAAAATAACAAATAAACAAGGAAAACAACAAGAATACAAGAAAAAAAAAGTAAGGAAAGCAAAAAAAAAAAAAAAAAAAACAGGGAAGTCAAGGCAAACCAACAAAATGCAAAGGAAACAACAAGAAAAAGAGAAAAAAAACAACAACAAGAAAGTCAAGTAAACAAAAGAAAAAAAAGTTCCGACAAGGAAAATCACGACAAGGAAAACAAAACAAAACAGCAAGCAAACAGGAGAAAAAACAAGAGAAAGAAAAACAAGGGAGAATCCTTCGTTCCTCTATACATGGGGCCGACACGAGATTGAATCCGACTTCGATGTTTATTGACTTGTGTTTATAGGTGGTGAAGCAAGGGGGTCGAGGAGAGAAGAGGAGCAAGGGGGAGAGGAGAGAGGAGTGAGAGAGAGAGAAGAGAGAGAGAGAGAGAGAGAGAGAGAGAGAGAGAGAGAGAGAGAGAGAGAGAGAGAGAGAGAGAGAGAGAGAGAGAGAGAGAGAGAGAGAGAGAGAGAAGAGAGAGTGAGTGAGTGAGAGAGAGATAGAGAGAGAGCAACAATCTTTCTTATATAGTTCCTAACCATGTTCAGTCTACCTAGTACCCAGTTACTTCACGACTCCCCCCCTCCCCCCCTTCCCACAGCCGAAGCAAGCACTCGAGCCGAAGCCAGCGACCTCCCACACAACAGGAAAGGCAGATCGGGAAGGGAGAGCCTCTTCTGACGGCCATTATGAAGCAGCCTCCCTGAGCCTCCCTCCGTCTTGGGCTAAATCCACGTAGGCCTAACTAGCCCGGACTCCGACGCCGGTTCGATAACTCTACGGAACTTTCGCCATATTTCAACACTTCTGAGATTGCCTTTTTGTGTGTGTGTGTTCTCCGGATATGCTCGTTGTGAGGGAGGAAGTTTGGGCTTGAGGTGTGCTACGGTTATAGGAGCGAACGGGAATGGGCGGCACGCAAATACATTCACGGAAATATTTACGCACGTAGGCATAAATACGTGCACAATAACACCACACACACATGCAAGTGCACACACACACAACACACACACATACACACACACGCACACACACGCACACACACATAAAAAAAACACACACCCACACTCTCTCAAATACACACAAGTACACAAACATATACACACACACGAAAGCAAACATCGTATTTTTTGTTATTTTGTTTCTCTTCTCAATATCAATTTATCTCAGCAAGACATGGAATGATTTGTCAATTAGTGATGTTGCGCATGAAAGACCACACACAACACGTGGACAAATGTATCTATCTTCCAATTAATCTTGTATACATGTATTTATTTCTTCATTCATTCCGTTTCCATCAAACTGCGTGCACATCTATACATACAAAGAAGCTTAGACACACAAACAAACACACACACACACACATACACACACACACATACACACACACAAAGACACACACACTCGTATCTATATTCAAATAGTCCATCATTCATATCTGCATATTGACATAGCCCCCTAAATGGTTATCTATCTATCATCCATGTCATTTTGAA